CAAACACACTACATTTGCACGGTCGAAACACTTGTTCCAGTGTTCCGGGGAACGTATTATCTCGCAAAGAACCAGAAACGTTTACAATGAATTCTTTCCGGAAGTGCAGGGTTTTAAATCTATAGATTGCATGCTATTAATACGATTTTCAAAAATAGTTATTTTATTAAAGCAGTTATGAATAATAATAATAATAAAAGGCATTTTGTGCTGAACTCAGTAATTACCAGATGAGCGCTAACTAGAGGCATTATGGCGGACAGGTGTAAATGTTCTGTGTGTGTGTGTGTGGAACTGGTTTTGTAATGCACAGATTTTTCTCTCTCTCTCCCTCTCTCTCTGTTCTTCATTCTGGTAAACTTGGATGTTGAAAAAGGGATGTTTTTACTCCTCATATAAATATGTTTGGATCAGCTGTTTATCATCATCATCATCATCTCTTATATAACTTCGTCTGTGGGTAGAATTCATCGACATCGACTGGCTGGGAAGACGATTCGCCTTAAAAAGGGAGCACGAGATATATTTAGACATTTGGTAATGAGTGACCCAGCTTGTAGCATATACGTGCAAGCCGGAAGGACGTGCAAACATGCTTGGAGCATTTGGCAAAAACATTCCCAAGGCTCCAATTATTACTACTCAATCATCGATGGAGAAAATAGACCGACAAACGTAACCATGGCGAAATTTTTAATCATCGAGCATTTCTTTTTCTCTCTCTCTCTTTTAGGAAACAAGAGGGAATCCTCAATAGCCGCGGAAGTTGAAATTCGTTTAGGCAGGATTACAGTAAATTAATCTATGAGAGCTTTTTTATTCCCCTTTTCATTAGCTATACTTTAGTGCGCCAGCAATACCAAGCGTGGGGTGCGTGTATACCCAATTCAATTTTATTACTCATCAGGATCTCTACCAGCCTACAATTGAAATTATTTTAGGCAGGATTGGAGTAAATCAATCTATGAGACCTTGGGCGAGGTCAAATACATCAGTCGTAAAGATTTTGACCTCCTGAGTCCAAAACTGTAATTAGATCTCAAATCGGTCAAGAGATGGCGGAGCTATGAGCTAAAATTTTGTACTTGAAAAACAAAACACAAACAAACTCAGACTCGTTCTATGAGCCACTATGCCGAGGCTAAAAAGAAAATAGTCTGGCAAGAAACCAGAGTGTCAAAACGGGTTCGGAAACCACTAATTTGAAGAATCTGACGTCCCTAGAGCTCACATTGACTAGATTCTGAGTGTGAATTGAGTACGCTCTCCCTGAACCGACTTTAATGTA